TGAGTACTGTGAAAGTAGTCGAATATGACATACAGTGGGGTGATGGTAGTTTGAAGTGAGGAGTCAACTGCCGATTAATAGACTTTTTTGCCGTATGAATATACGTTGCCCAGGGTGCACCACGTGGAGGTAAGTCTATCCCACACCCCAACATTTTGACAGCATAGTTTTCCGCGTAATACATGTTTCGGGAAGGGAATATATATGATTCAGCAACTTATTAAAAATTGTTATATTTGCCATATTTGTGGTGAAGATTACACTTTATCTTATGCTTAAAATGTATTTTTAAAAACGTATTTTTCACATTCTGTCCCTTCAATACTTACACTCTGCGGGTGGTGCTGATTTGGCCATGGGAAATTACTGAGGAGTTGATAGTTGACTTAAAAAGACTATTTTTCATTCAAATTTTCAAGATTGAATTAGTACTTTAGAAGTTCTTGGCCATTTGACATGTTCAAGTGTGGTTAAGGCAGGTGGACTCCTTTGAATAAAGTAAATTCACAAGGCATCAATTACATGGTGAAGCCAAGATAAAAGAGGCGTGGCGTGTATCGAAGTTCTTGCTGAACACTTTCATCGACTGGTGTTAATTATTGGTTATTTTGTATGATGTTATTTTTAATACGTTGGGCTTACCACCTCTAAGTAAAAAGATAGCATTGATTTTCCCTTTAATATTCGCATGCAGTCGCTTTCATTGCTGTCACCCGGTGCATGGCTGAATTACTGATATGCTTCCTAAAAGTGTCTGGTTGTAAACAGAACCAATCGTCTTTAAGCTTCTCTAATTTAATTAATATTAACTAGTGACAAGTCATATTTTTTACTGCTTTTCAAATAACAGAGATTCGAGAGACCTTCGGAAAGATCATCACCGAGCCCGAAATTCGGGCTTTTGAAGCAATTGCCAAGTACTACTTTAAACAAACTCGACAGCGATATCTTCCTGAGTACTGGGTGCCCATCCAGTGGGCGGTTCGATTGGTCCAAAAAGCCGGTCTCCATGGTAACATGCCTGATCCGCGTATGATTGGTTATATGTTCAAGGTAAAATATATTTATTGACATTCAATGGACTTGCATAATTTTCTAAAATACTTTTCTTTTGACCTTATTTAGGAAATTGGCATTTTCCGTGATAGATTGCAACATTTGGAAATTTATAGCAGTTTAATGATGCCTCTCGTCTATACACAAGTGAGTTTCAAGAACACAGGGTTATTTCATTTCCTATCAATATTAACCGGACTAATTTGTTTTTTTCTTAAATTATTTTCATTTTTTATAATATTATGATGCCTTTCCTGAATGCATGCGTAATTTTGCATTTCAATTGTGTGAGCTTTTCATTTGAATTCGTAAAATATACTTATTAATATTGAAGGATCAAATGAAGATTGCGCTTGGAAATGGAAAAATACTTGATGAAACAAAATGGCGAACACAGGTTGAGGAATTTCGACGTTAATGAGAATAGATGCGTTTAGTTGAGTAATGCTCCTCCTCTCACCGCCCCCCCCCCCCG